AAAAAAAAAGTCAGGTGTAGTGTAGTGGTATGCCCTTATAATTCAGCCCTGGGAAGTGGAGACAGGCAGATCTCTGGAACTTGCAATCCAACCTACCTAGCCTAATTGATGAGTTCCAGGCCAGTGAGAGACCTGGTCTCAGAAAACAAGGTGGACAGTTCCTGAGGAATGATACTTAGTATTGTCTTCTGACACACAGCACACACACACACACACACACACACGCACAACTGAAAAACCAGGATCCTACTGTTTGAGAACCACAAACACATTTTTTGTGGTTGCATTTCTAAAATTACTCCTGGACTGGAATGCTGAGGCCTCATTGTGGTTGGGAGCTGCAGCTAGCTCTGGCCTGGCCCTGCCCTAGTCCTGGGATGGCCACATCCCCCAGGAGCCCAAGCACACAGAGCCTTTTCCAAATTGTCTGCTCTAAGCTGTGGGCCTCTGACATGACAGGGTAGCTGTAAGCTAACGGATTTCTGTATCTGCAGAGTGCGAACGTGAGGGAACTGGCCATGAGCCACTGAAAACTTGGCCAAATGTAGCACAGGATGATTCTCAACACCGGAGGACCAGGAACAGACTTGGTCCTGACAGATCGAGGCCCTCCTCACCAGCCTCCTGCCTGGTCCACAGCACAGGAAGGGGATCCAAGACAAGCGGGACAAGCTGGGTTGGTGGAGGAGACAGAGATTTGATATTTGGGAGACTGAGTGAGTCAGTAGTGTTGGGATGTAGAACTGAAGAGGAGGGTGCCACTTGGAGAGAGGATCCTAAAACCCGGATGGCTCAACCCTGGGTACATTGAATGTGTGTGGAATGAGGCTCCACAAGGACAGTCTAGGGGTGGCTGCTGTACCCTGAGCCACTCCCAGAGCTGCCTCAAGAGGGCCAGTTAGTGTCCTCTCCAGCCAGAAGACAAAGCTTGGAATGTGAATATATTAGTCAGTTTTCCTTTGCTGTGGCAACATATCTGAGACTGAGTGTTTCATAAAGAAAAGAGGTTTATATAGCTCACAGTTAAAGTGGTTGGAAATCCAAGATCAGGTGGCCCTGCCAATGTAGTCTCTGGTGAGGCCCCTTGACTGGGCTATATCACATGGAGAACTCTTAGTGGGAGTGAATGGAATCCTGGCAGGAGATGAAGAAATCCTGGTGGGAGCAGACAGAATCATTGTGGGAGCTCATAAAACTGTGGTGGAAGCTGATGGAATTGCGGAAATGGGTGGAGTCATATGTGGAGGTACACTGAGATTTTGGGGGAGCTGATGGAGTCCTGGGGAGCTACTGGGGTGATGGGGGAGCTGATGGTGTGGTGGGGGTGCTGAGGGGATTGAGAGGGCACTGCTAGGGCTGTGGCAAGCGCATGCTCACATATAGACTACTTGGTGGAGACTGGAAAAGCCTAGAGATGCCAGGGAGGGGCCTGGAATGACTGTCCACTAGGCCCCACCTCTTAAAGCCCCTGATGCAGCCGCACTGGGGACCAGACCTCCAACACTGGGAAATGTGTCTTCAGCAGCCACCATAGTACCTGGGCGCAGGGCTCGACCTACCAGGTCTCATTTCAGCAGCAAGACTCTGTGACAGTTGTCACTGACGGAAACCAGCTGTTTCAGTGCTCTTCCTCCTGTGGGTGATAATCTCAACACCCCAGTGGATATGACAGATTTTTTAAAAGATTCTATTTTTGTGTGTATTTGTGTGGGATATGTGCATGTGAATACAGGTACTGTCCCCTTGGAGCTGGCATTACAGACAGGAGTTTTGAGACACCTGACATGGGTGCTGGTAACTAACTCAGGTCCTGCAAGAGCAGTACATGCTCATAACTGCTGAGCCTCTCCTACCCCAGTGAGGACAGGTTTTCTTGTGGGGGAGGGGTCTTTTTGAGACAGGGTCTCCCTGTAGCTGTAGCTGTCCTGGAACTCACTATCTAGACCAGGCTGGCCTCAAACTCACAGAGATCTGCCTGCCTCTGCCTCAGGAGCACTGGGATTAAAGGCGTGGGCAACCACGCCCAGCACAGTGACAGTGTTTTAAGGTAAGCCTAAAGAAAGTTTTTGGTAGAGTTCTGTTGCCTGATTTCTCACAGTTGGAGGCAGAGACTGCGTAGGACCAAAATGTATGTGGCTATAAAGTGAATAAGTAGCCAATACAAAAGTGTTAGGTGAATACTGTTTATTTACAAGATGCCCTTCCTGTCTTCTGGACTGGGCTAGGGAACAAGAATGGCAACCAGCAGGCAGACTGGTCTCTCGATGCCGTCATAATCAGGACATCCGCCGGCAGACCCACGGGTCTGTGACCAACCTCTGTACCCATGTCCCGGCATTCTTGGCCTGAGGGTCCCTGGAGGTGACTGTTAGCTGGAGAGAGGACAACTGGTCTCTCGATGCCGTCATAATCAGGACATCCGCTGGCAGACCCACGGGTCTGTGACCAACCTCTGTACCATGTCCTGGCATTCTTGGCCTGAGGGTCCCTGGAGGTGACTGTTAGCTGGAGAGAGGACCCATCTTGCTTTGCACAGGTGATGGAACACCAGAAAGCTAATATTCATTAAGCACCATCCAAAACCCATGTGGCCTTGTAAGGTCCATTGCCTGAACAGCAGGAAGAGGCATGGCTCATGCCAGCAGGCAGGCCCTGCCTAGCCCCCCACTCTATTCAAGGACATACTGTTGTCTGTCCCCTGCCTGCACTTCTGGGTGAGGTGCCCAAGGAGGCCCAGCAGTGCGAGCCTGCAGGGCTTGTGGAGGAGGAGGGTGGCCACTGAGTTGATGCAGCTCTCTCCAAACAAGGCCAGCTCTGCAAGGTTCATGAGCAGCTCTTCCCTGGGGGAGCCCACATCCCTCCGAAGCTTCAGCCCAGCCCTCCTCAGCAGTGCTACATTGTAGAAGAGTCGGCAGGCAAATGTGATGACAGCCACAGCCAGTACCACCCAGCACCCAGAGGCTGCATCCCTCTGGGCAGGAGCCACTCGCCAAGCTCGCCAGGTGGCATACAGGAGGAGGAGTACCAGCTGGAGACCGAGGGCAGGTGCGAAGCCCAGGCTGAACTTGACAATCTCATATTCAGGCCATGCAGTCAGTGGGTCCACCTGGCACATGGTGATTCTCTGCAGCTCTCCAGATGTGCCTAGCAGAGACACCACAATCAATGAACTACAGATAGCGCAGCCCCCAATGGCAGCCAGGCCTGCCTTAGGCCTTGCCAAGAGCCGACAGCCCAAGGATCCGGGCAGGAGGGACAGGGCCAGCATGGCTCCCTGCAGGTACTGCGAGGTGAAATAGCAGACATTGGAGAAGAAAGAGAGTGCCCCACAGCCCAGATTGGTTGTGAGCACATAGTCGGGCCGGCTAGCGGCACTGAGGGACAGCAGTGTCACCACGATGCTAGTGACTGTGAGGCCCAAAAGGAATCTGTCCAGTGCCCCCAGCCTGACGTGGTCCCGGATGAACACGCTCAGGTTGAAGAGCCCCGTTGCCAGGCTCAGTGGGACACACACAATGATATACACATGTGTACACCTGGATATGATGCTCTGTGCTGCAATGACATCCTCCACGGCCGGGGACACATGGCTCGGGTAGCGGACCCAGGACATGTTGTGAGGATCCATCTGCAGAAGAGCTGTCAAACCTGCAATAGAAGCACATGCTGTGTGGTCATAGGTCTGGTCCAGTGAGGAACCGTGCTACCCAAAGGACAGTGTTCTTAGAGGGTGGCTAGCCTTGGTGGGTGCAGGGAGAATGTTAGGACCCAGCCCGGGTGTCCAGGGTATGGGGCTCAGAGTCAAGTATCTCCAGCAATCTTGTTTCTGAGAGGTGCACTGGGCAAGAGCAGCCCGATCAGCAGCTAACAGTGGCCTTTGAATGTGGCTCTTGGCAGTGGCCTGTCTCCTCTGAAGAGTTCAGCTGGCGCCTTCCCGGGAATGGCGTTGTAGGAGCTCTAGCTCTGAGTCACCAGAGCTTCCGGCCACTCCCAGGAGACAGAGCACGCCTTTACATTTGAAATCTGCCTTTCAACCCTGAGACATTTGGGAGATTCTGGCCAGTCTTGAGTTCTGTAGGGACCTCTTTCTAGAGACTGGGGTGGCATGTGGAGGCTGGGATGGCCAAGGCATCCCACCCTCTGGGCTGGGAATCACTTTATAGTTGTAAATTCCCGGGCAGGGTTTTAAATAACCATGCTGACAGACCCAGCACTCTCCCAGCCCATCTTTGGTCAGTGAAATAATTTTGTTTCTATATAAATGGCCCCTTCCCTTCTTTATAAACTAAGTAGCAGTGGAGGCTAGGAAATAGTATTAATGTTTATTTAAAGGAATCGAAGGCAATAAAAGTGGAGCCATAATTGTAATGGTATGCCTCCAGCAGCCAGGTTTTGTTTGGTCTTGAAGATGGACCACAGGTCTGGATGGGCTCAGGACAGTGCACAGAAAGGCATGTGTGGGTGCATGAGTGTGTTTCTATGTGTGTGTGTCTGTGTGTGCGTGTGTGTGTGTGCATGTGGCAGGGGCACATGTCACAGTGTTCTTATGGACTCAGGGGACAACTTTGCGGAGTCCATTCTCTCCTTCCAGTTTTACATGAGTTCCAGGGATGAAACTCAGGTCATTTCACTTGCATAGGTCTAGCCAAATAGGCTAGGCTGGTTGGCCAGTGATCTCCAGGGATCTATCACCCTGTCTCCACCTCCTTGATGCTGGGATTACAAGCACAAGCCACCATGCCTGGGTTTTTGTTGTTGTTTATTTGTTTTGGTTTTTTTTTTTGAAAACATGGGTTCTAGGAATTAAACGCATATCTTCATACTTGACCAGCAAGCACTTTACTGACTGTGCCATCTCACTAGCCGGGGCTGATGTTTGATGTGTGAGCTCTTCACTGCCTTAGAACTGCCCTTGGCTTCATAGTTGCTGTGTCAGGCACCTTTTGCACTTGCACATGTGTGCATCTCCCTTGGCAGACATAGACAATACATTGCCCTGTATGCTAGGTGGTACCTGTTAGAACATCTTAACCAACTTCAGGTTGTAGGGAGTAACTGCCCTCCTCTGGGAGTCTTGAACCTGCAGATTTTAACCACATGTAGCCTTGGCCCCTGTTGGATTGAATTGTCACTCACAGCAGCTCTGTGCCGCTTAAATCAGGGCTGAGTCCTAGGTGCCCTCTACCACTGCTCCTCGTTCCTCCTTGGTTCATCTGGGATCCTTCACCTTCTGCCTCAAGTGCCTTTGTGGAGTTTTTTTCAGAGAATACCCTTCAGTGTTTGCTGCTGGTGAAACTCCCATCTTTGCTTGTCTGAAACATGGTGACTGGGCCTGGGAAGATGGCTCAGTCGGTAAAGCACTTGCCTTGCAAGCACGGGCACCTGAGTTCAATCCCCAGAAACCATGTACAAAGCTGGGCAGATGCAGAGGCACATACGCTTGTAACCTGAGATGGCGGGCAGAGACGGGAGGATTCCTGGAGCTTCCTGGCCATCTTAGCCTAGCCTATGAGGTACTTGTCTCAAAACAAAAAAGTAGAAGGCTCCCAGGTAGACCTGACCTCCAGGTACTTGGGCATCTGCAGCCACAAATCCCATCCCCAAATGGGATGGCTTTTCCACGGTTAGAATTCTAGAGTGGATTTGATTGTCCACTTGGGGCTCATGGCTTCATCAGCTCAGGAACCGCTCAGCTTCCCTGCCTGTGGGAGCCGAACCTTGCTCCCTCTCTTTGTTCCCGGTTCTGGCTGACAGACTCCAGGCCAGGCTTGCTTGCCCCCTCCCCCATGCTCCTAAATGCCTCATTGTAGCTTTTTAGAGACCTAGCATTTTTAGAGGTTGCCATTCCTTGGTGTCTTTACAGGTATCTTTGAATTTCCATCTTGCTCATGTCTGAACAGGGGCAGTGGTGTCACCTAGAAATTTAAGTTTGGAAGTGACTTATAAATGACAGCATCCTCCTCCAGAGCCTCTGTTTTTCCTTTTCTGAGGCACCAGGGCTCCCCAGTGCCAAGGCGTGGGGTTCCTGGCCAGTCCCCAGCGACCATGGCAGTGGCTCTGTGTAGCCATCCAAGTCAGTGTCCCTTTTTGGCTGTGCCAGAGGGGTTCCCTTGTCGGCCAGAGCTCTTGGGTTGATGGAGTCTGACTGTGGGATGCCTTATGTCTGCATGTCTCATCATCGTTCAATAAAATTTTTTGGGGGGGTGTTTGTGTCTGTCTGTCTCTCTGTCAGTGTGTATCTGTCCATCCATCCTTATGTACACATATAGAAGGTTGAAGTCAGGCATCTTCTTCAGTCGCTCTCCATCATATTTTTTGAGACAGGGTCTTACCTGCAGATTCAGTTAGACTGGTTAGCGAGCTCCAGGGTTCCTCTAGTCTCCGCCTCCCAAGCACTGGGATTGCAGACACATACTACTGAGTCCCACTCCTACATGGCTTCTAGGATCAAACTCATACCCTAGTGCCAATGGAGCCAATTTCCCGGCCCCTTCCTTTTTCTTTTAGCAGTTCACACATTTCCCTCCCCTTAGTTCTTTTTTAAGAAAGATTTATGTATTTATTTTATATGCTTTTATTGGATTTTATACATCTTTATTATATTTAGTCCTCCTTCCTTATCTGCACCACCCCCCATAGTCCGCTCACAGGACTTCATGCATTTTGTCACATATGTTAAGGCCTATCGAGTCATGTTTATATACTCAAATGTCCCTCGGTGTGTGTTCATCCACTGGAGCCTGTTCAGCCTCTGGCGTCACTCCCTTAAAGGAAGACCAACTCTCCCTCACCCAGCAGTGATCAGCTGCCAATAGTTCTTTGCCAGAAAGATTTGTTTTTATTTATACTTATATGTATGGGGGTTGGGTGTGTGTGTGCAGAGGCCAGAAGAGGGCATCTGATCCCCTGGTGATGGAGTTACTTGCAGTTGTGAACTGCCCACTGTGGGTGCTGGGAACTGAACTTGGATCTTCTGGAGCTGAGCATCAAACGCTCTTGCAAATGCCTTAGGTGTTGAGCTGTCTCCCCAGCCCTGAGTTCTTTGTTCTCATAAATATTTTTTAAAACTGATTTTGAGCATGTAGTGAATATTTCAGAAGCAGGAGTCCAGGGTCTTTCAGGTTCTGGGCTTCAGAGTCCCACCCAGGCCATCGCATCACTCACTGCGCCTTGCCACTTAATCTTTTTTTTTTCTTTCTTTTTTCAGACAGGGTCTCCCTGTAGCCCCAGCTGGCCTGGAACTCACTATGTAGACCAGACTGGCCTTGATCCCACAGAGATCTGCCTGCCTCTGCCTCCCGGGTGCTGGAATCATAGGCTTGCGCCACCACACCCTGCTGCCGTTTAATCTTTTTATCACATTTCAGATCCTAGAGGACAGTCCTCTCTGGGTAGTTGAGAAATAGGAAAGCTCCTGGCCCTGTGCCACCATGTTGGACTTGAGCAGGTGGTGTATCAGGGCTTGGGCTTCCCACATCTGGTCAGCCTGTACTTCTCTCTCTGAGTTCAGTATATTCCTCTTTTTCAGTCTGAAGGGACAAGCAGAGGCTATGATGGCTTCCACCTGCTGGCACTTGCAGAGCCAGTGGTGTGGAAATGAAAAGTCATGGCTGGCCCTTGAGGAAACAATTTGGAATCCGGCTCATCAAGTGGAATGGGAAGCTGCCTTGTGATCGCTGACCACAGTCAGGAAGCAGAGCTTCTCAGCAGATGGCTAATCTATCTCCGCAGCCGCTTGGGTGTGTGGTGTGCTGCTGGGCAGTGTGTGGACATCCATCACCAAAGGCCCTTCTGGCTTCCAGCAGTCAGCTCTGTCTTTATTGGACTGTGGCAAGCCTCTGGTTCCCAGCTGAGTGACCAGGACTGTGTTTGAACTTGCTCTTGAGCCCAGACTAGGTTCTTTGGTCCTCAGCTGCCGGTTGCTACCCAGGATTTTAGGACCTTGCTCAGGTCCTGAGAGCTCTAGCCCGGGCGTCCTCCCGGCCTTTGTTCTGCATGCAAAGTGGTATTCTACCTTCAGCTCTTGGGTCTCAGTGTTCTAAGTACGGTGGGCACCAGAGCCCCCTTCCCAGCTGGGCGTGGGATAGGGAAGGAAGGGTGGTCCCTCAGAGGTTGGCAGGCAGACTTGGGGCCTTTGCTTCTTGCTGTCTTTGTGTTGCACACAGCCCTGCTCAAGCTGGGGGCTTCAGAAAAGTGCCATCCTGTGCTTCTGTCCCTTGATGGACTTCCATGTAGACCAAATGAGCTTGCTCCCTGGCCTTTAGAGCACCCCAGTCCTGTCCTGCAGAGCCCAGCTACGGAAAGAATAGCCAGGCACCTTCCACCCCATCTAGGGCCAGCCTCTCTGTGCCATCACCGCCCTGGCACACCTTCATGCCTTCCTGCCACCTGCAGCCCTGTCCTGATTGAGGTCAGGAGAATCCTGCCCTGCTTATAAGCCCAGACCTGGCCAGCAGCTTGTTTGCTCACGGGACTACCTGGCCCCTTTACCAACACTCTACCTGACAAGGCCACTGAGGCTCCACAGCCAAACTTTCCACAGTCTATTCCTCGCTTCATAGCCTCTTGCTGCCCTCTCCTGGCACCCTGTATCCTGAGCTTCTCTACAGCCCCGACAGTCCCTTAACTCCCCCTTCTTCTGTTGTCAGCCAAAGAGCCAGCAAGACGGATGAGAGAGGATGAGACACAGTGGATCTTGCAGGGAGGCTAGCCTGGGTGTGGCTCACAGTGCTCTCTCATCAAGCTAGATGCTGTCTAGAGTACTCCTTGGCTGATAACGCACTTGGACTTCCGTTTCTACATGCGGTGAGCCTATCAGCTCCCTCACTGACAGTCCTTGGCACCCAGCCTTGGCTACCATTTACCCGTTTTCTCTGCTGCAATTTCGACATTTCCAGGTGTGTGTGTGTGTGTGTGTGTGTGTGTGTGTGTGTGTGTGTGTAGCCTTCATACCTGGCTTTCTTGTGTATGTGAGGTGCCTTGCCTCCCTGGCATCATGAGTCCAGGTTGTCACTGCCTGCCGCACTGGTTGTCATTCCTGGTCACTAAGAAGTCCACACAGTGCTGGACTGACTGAGGGTGTCACATTGCGCTCCAGCAGCTCTTTTGCTGCTGCTCTCAGTATGCCACCAAGTGCAAGCACACTTTCTTTTCTCCAGTGCACATCTCCAAGGGGTGTAGCTGTGCCATCCTGTGTTCCCACCAAAACCTGCATTTTAACTCCAGCAGAGCCTAGGGTGCTTTGGAAAAGGGATGGATGAACACTCCATGGAAGTGTTTCAGGCTGAGAACCTGGGGCACTGGGACCCTCCCAAGCCCTCTAGAAGGGCTGCCAAGGTCACATCTGTGTCCCCTGGGAGTTCCCTGAGGCTAGCGGCTGAGAATGCTGTGGTCTGAACAGCAGCTCCTGGCTGTCACTCTGTAAATAGTCTTTCAGAACGGATTCTGGAAGTGTGGCCTCTTCACTTACCAAGCACTGAAGTTAGAAGGTGGGGGAGCAGAGGGTGGGCCTGCGGAGGCTATGGCTGTGAAGGGGACAGAAGGGAGGGCTTGAAAAGGGGCTGTATCTGTGGTTCCCAAGCCCTTCCACATGGATGGGGAGCTGTTTCTGAGTGTTCACTCTTACAGACCCTTCAGAGCTGCCCTTATTTTACAGATGTTTACAGCAGAGCTCAAGTTGTTCCATGCAGATACAGCATAACACTGTGAGGTCAGGATTCTCAGGTGTGACCCACAGGTGGCAGGGTGTCCTTGTATGCCTGTAGCTCACATGTGAAGTGGCCTCAGCGTACTCAGGCAGAGGCTTGGGCCTTTTGAGGGTCTTCCAGTGCCCCACTGCCTCTGTAGCTCTCAGGGCAGTCCCATCTGTCTCAGTTGAGTCTTTGGGAAATTATAGCTTTGCTGTGTCCCCAACACAGGAGGCCAATAAACATGCCTGTATGACTTAGGAGGTAGAAAGTGGAGCCCAGGAACTGAGTCCAAAGTGGGTGCACAGAAGGCTGGAGCTGCCTTGGGTGGTGGGCTTCAGTGCAGGCTCTGCAGTGCTCCCTCTTGGCTCTGTTTTGTGCTCAGTCTTAGCCCCACCTCCCTCTGGCAGGACTCAGCCTTTCTAGCACCTCTGGCCTTTTGGCTCTGTAAATGTTTCCGTCTGGTCTCTTGTGCCTGCAGACTAGGGCTGATCTGCTGATGAGTCACCATGTCTGCCTCACATACATGGCCTGGCGTCCCATTTCAGGCCATGGCCAACTGCACAGAGGTGTGACCTTGGAGAGGAGCTTAGATTAATCCCAGCCCATGGGTCTGGAAAGGTATTGCTGGATGTGCTGGCTGACACGGTGGGCAGTGTGGGCCTGTCTGTCCTCACCAGTGCCCAGGCAGCTCCCCTCTCCTACCCTTCCCTGGTGGTCCCACAGCTGTCTGTTTCTATACTTGCTTCAGGTATTTGGAAAAATAACCTCATTAGGGTAAGATAAAAGCAGTTCCCTTTATGCTTTTCTGAAACCTTCCAGAGGAGGTATATGTGCCTTTGTCTCATACATGTGTTTGTATACATTTGTGCATGTCAGGTGCACAGGCCTGCAAACATGCATGCACATATGTGCATACCTAGGCACACACCAACACACAAATGTACATGTACACATACCAGGTTAGACATGCACCTGGGCACACAGAAACATAACCATGCTCACATGCACCCAGGCATACATTGACATACAAGCTTACATTTGTACACACATGAACAAAAAGCAACATGCAGATGTGCACACATACAGGCATGTGCAAACATTCACACATATACATAGATCTTGGCACACACCAACAGTATGCATACACAAGCATGTGTGTAAGCACACTGATACTGTGTACACAGCCACACGCCTCTAGGAGCGGCAGAGCTCCTGGTCCCTGTGTACTGTGTACAGTGGGTATTCCAATCCAGTGGGCAGAGGACCTGCCTGGCCTTCTGCAAATTTCATGGGCACAACGTGCTTCCTACAGAGTGGGAGCTCCGTGGACCTGTGAGCAAGAGGATGGAGCCCTCCTGCATCAGACCCTGACACTAGGCCTCCTAGCATCCTCTGTACCTTCCATCTAGAAACCCCAGTACACTCAGTTCCCCAGCAGCTGCATGTTGAATGGGAGTGTCAGGGGCACTCTTAGTGGTTAAGGCCTGTGTTTTCCCAGCCCCCTCCTCTATCAGCTTCCAAGATGAGAGTGGGGGGATGGACCAGGAGATGGTAGAGACCTGGCCCAGTGAGGTTTCTGCACTCTGGGGGCCTGCCACCCCACTGCCTCACACTTGCTATGTACACCACCCTCTTTCTTCCAAAGGCTGAGCACAGGGAGTGTTGAGGAGCAAGCCCACCTGAACCCCTGTTTAGGGCTGGCACTGCTACCCTGCACAGTGGAGTTGTCCATCCCTGTCACCAGGGGCCATGTGCCACTGAAGCCCTCAGCTGTCCTCAGAGCCAGTAGTTTAGATAGCCACTCAGGGCTGTTAGAAGCCTGAATGCTTATGGCTGTGGCCTGGGAAGCAGGGAGATCTGTAGTTTCCCCCCAAGTAGGACTTTCCCAGATACACAGCAGGATGTGGAGCCTTCCTATATGTGGCTGCCTGGAACAGGGCAGAGCTGAACTAGTGAGAGGTCACCAGGACAGGTATTTAGTGTTTTGTAGCCTTGTGTGGTCTCAATTCATGAGGGTCTCAAGACCCTCACTCACTGTTATTCTGTGAGGCTGTGCACAGCTGCTGAGGAGAGGGCACCTTGGTACAATGGTGGGGGCCACATGATACGACCCTCTCTTCTCTATGCATCCCTGGTATCTGCTGTTCCTGGTAACCCAGCAATGACCACGTGGGAGGATTGGCCTGTGCTATACTGGCAAGGACTTCTGACAACAAGGGTCCCCTTTCTCCCTCAGGGAGCTGCTCTGTCCTGGTGGTTTCTCCCAGCAGCCTGCCCCACATGGCCCCGGCAGGCCCTGCCCACCCTGCTGGCTCTTCCTCCTACTCTAGGTCTTCCTGGCTCTTCTGGCCAGTCATGCACTCCAGGCCCCTATGGTGTGCCCTGCAGGAAGGTCTCTGGCCAGCCAGAACCAAATAGGTGAGCTGCAGCAGAGGGCAGTAGGGCGCTTGGCTCCGTCTGCTTCCCAGGACCAAAGGCTTTGTCTCATAACTGTTTCTGAAAGAGTAGATCTTGTCTCCCGGGGGCCAGCGAGCCATCAGTGTCACACAGCTGTGTCCCCTCTGTCCACTGGGAGACACTGCAGAGCACCATCAGGAGCATCTTTATGGAGATCTTGGGAAGTGAGCTGAACCTGCCTGGGCAAGGCATCATCAGGGTAGTGGCTCTCTCAGTGCCATGGGTTGCAGGAATGCATGTCTGGAACATCACACTGGCCCCAATTGATTACAAAGCGGGCCTTGTGTGGAGGCAGCCAGCCCACTTGCCTTGGGAAGTTTGGTCTCAGTTTTCAAGGGCTCGCTCCCAGACCCTGCCTGCCACCGCCCTCTGAATAGGAAAGTCAATGCCTAGGCTCCCGCCCCACCCTGCTGTAGTCAGCCCAAAGAATCCTCTATTTTAGGTTTCATGCCCCATGCAAACACACACATTCCAGATGTGCCTGCTCTAGAATGTTCTTTATGTTCTGCCACGATGGCCCTTCTCTGTTTTCATCCGAAGATGAAAATCCACTGTAGTGACTAATCTGGCAGCTCTGCCAATACTAGCTGTGTCTTCTGACCCTCTGTGGACCTTTTCCACTCCACTTCGGGAGCTGACCGGAGGCACCATGGACCTTTCCTTCAGGAGGAAGTGTGGCAGGCTATACCCTCATCAGCACACCAAAGACTAGGATTTTCATTACTTAATGGAACTGACCTGTGCTATAAAGAAATGGTTTTTGGACAGAAACTTTCCAAAGCTACAGAGTGCCCCTTGCCTGCATCCACTGGTAAGTTATAGGTGGGAGGCCTGGAGGGGCATGCAGGTCTGCCTCCTTGCCAGAATATAGCAAAGTGCTTACCTATGCCAGGCCCTGGGGTCCACACGGGGCTCCGTTGGCTGTGGGAGGTTGTTGTGAGGCTGGGGATCTGCTTTACTTGTCTAGTCTTCTTTCCGTTGCTCTGCGCTCACCAAAAAGGCTGGCACAGACACCCACAGTTCCTAAAGAAAAACAGGACTTGGCCTGAGTTGTCCAAACCACATACTCTGTGTTTAAGCAGAATATGGTTGGGCCATGTGACTCAAGATTCCAAACATACCTATGTCTGAGGTGGAAGAGTGACGTGTGTGAGTGTGAGGGTGTCCAGAGCTTTCCCTCCCAGAAGGCAGGGACATTTGCAACCTAAAATAGGAGCTGCAACCCCACCCAGCCAGGAGTGCTCCCAACCTGTGCAAGGAAGTCGTCTGGAATCTTACCACACAGCTCCAGCTACTTGGCCCCTCTGTCCCTGACACCGAGTGACCCAGGATAGTTGTCACTCCAGTGTGGATGGCAGGTGACACTAGGGACCCCTACAGCCCTGCACACTAGTGGCCAGAACTGTGTCTTGGGGATCATATGGAGTGAGCAGTTCTGGGAGTTCCTGCCAGAAGGCACGTCGGCTTATTGGTGTCCAGCATTCTCTCTACCCAGCCTTGCCCAGGAGGCTGCAGCGCTGGCTGGGAAGAGTCCTGGGCCGAGGCACCAAATTCTGAAGGGAGAACCCCAGCCAGATAGAGGTAAAAGGACTTGGGAACGCTTGAGGGGCAGCTTCTTGTCTCCTAGCTTTTCCTGGGGCAGCCCTGCTAGAATCGTACAGTGCACTGGCTTTGCCCCACCATATGTATTCATCCCTTTGCAGCTCGCTTTATGTTGCAGGCTGTCTACATGGCACCGAGCCCTGAGCTGCCCTGTGCTTCCTTCAGCCTCTAGTCCAGCAAGAGAACCATCCCAGGTGCCTTGCCCAAGCCTCTGGGTGGTTCCTGGGTGTGCCATTGCTGTTATGAAGATTAAAAAACCATTAAACAAGCTGGTGTGGTGGCACACACCTTTAATCCCAGCACTCAGGAGGCAGAGGCAGGCGGATCTCTGTGAGTTCAAGGACAGTTGGGGCTGTAGGGAGACCCTGTCTCAAAAAAGACCAAAAAAAAAAAAAAAAAAAAAAAAAAAAAAACATTAAACGGGTGGGACCTGGCCTTCTCTAGAGATCATTTGCAGTCCTGAATGTCAGATGCTGCCCCAGGGACCATATTCTGACTCTGGGGGAGAGAGGTCTGAGGGGGCCGTGATGACTGATGGCCTCATTCATCCCAGGGCCCCTGCTCCAGGACAGTCACCCCTGTCCCCTTCCTTCCTGCTGTGTGGGGAAGGCAACTCTCAGCACACATTGCCCGGCCAGCCCTCTGTGGATTTCCTCCTAGCTGTGAGTATGGTGCAGTACAGCCCTGGTCATGGTCTAAGGCTGATGGGGCCACACAGGACTGCTGTCTACCATTTTGTCTCTGGGCCACCTCTGGTGTTTCTTGTACTTGACCGAAATCTCAGTGTGGCTGTTTGTTGTGTCCTTCCTGATGACCTTTGACAGTTCCCTGTTTTGTGTCCCTCCCCAGAATGGGCCCAGAGTGAGTGACCTCTGGCTCACCAAAGTGCCACATGAGTCTCGGGCCTCCTGATCGGATGCTGTTGGGAGAGGTGTACAATATGGGCTTGCTGTCCAGCCTCCCTTTGCCTCAGGCTTTGCCCCACTGTGCAGGTGCCTGAGCCTTCCCCTGGTGAACTGAGCAGGACATGGAGGTAGGATAGGGACCCTGACCTGGCCTGGCCACTCACTTGCAGTAGGGCACAGATGTCTCTCCAGGGTCTCCATGCTTTGGAAGAGGTTTGTGCTCTTCCTGGGGACCCATTCCTGGTCCTTAGTCTGAGCACACCTGTGTGGTATGCCTGTGGCTCCTGTGGGAGAAGCCAGACACAAAATGCCACACGTCATCTTCAGAAAAGGCAAAGGCCAGAAGGCAGGGGGCTGCCAGGGGCCCCAGACAGGACAGCCCTTTGTATCACTTCATGTTCTGTCAACAGTAATGACCTTTGCTTCCTTTTGACTTTGGCCTCCTCTTTTACTTTTTTTTTTTTTGGTCTTTTTGAGACAGGCTCTCCCTATAGCCCCAAGCTGACCTGGAACTATATAGACCAGGCTGGCCTCCATCTCACAGAGAACAGAGATTGCCTGCCTCTGCTTCCTGAGTGCTGGGATTGAAGGTGTGTGTCACCACACCTGCTGGCTCATCTTTACAGTTTAAGAGCATAGCCTTCTTTGAGGTGTGTGTTATAATGTCTCCATTTTAAAACACAGTTAGACCGGGCAGTGGTGGCACATGCCTTTAATCCCAGCACTTGGGAGGCAGAGGCAGGCAGATTTCTGTGAGTTTGAGGCCAGCCTGCTCTACATAGTGCGTTCCAGGCTATCTGGGGCTACAGGAAGACCCTGTCTCAAAAGGACATAAATAATAAAGAAATAAAGAAATAATAATAAATAATCAATCAATCACAGGTTGGTTTAGGTGGATCTGCAGGGTTGATTACGAACGCTGCTTAATCTTCCAGCTGGTTAGAGGCTTACCCCAACCCATCTGTACCTGGAGGCTGCTGCAGTGTTGTCCCTGTGTCTGAGCTGCTATGTGGCATGGCCGCCGGGATGCACTGCAGATAGTCTTCTCTGAAATCCTGCCCCCACCCTGAAAGTCTGCAGAGTAACTAGCAGCCCCATTGCACAGCTGCTGGTTCTTGTATGAAATGGTGCACATGGCCCCAATCTCAACAGGGTGGCAAATGCATGTCTCTTTTGGGGCCTCTTAAAGTCCCTCTTTTGACCTTTCCCAGTTGCCTTACTATGTGACCCCACACTTTAGAAGTTAGTAGTTATCATGCTGTTGACAGCTAGGAACATGTGGAGGGATTCAGCAAGCTAGAGACTCAGAGGAGGTGTCTTGCCCTCATGCTGGCCAAGGCAAGGGGCCTGTGCGTGACTTTAGTCCCCGTGGTGGCCCAGGGATCTGGAGGAACAGGTCCGCAGAGGGACCTGTAGGTAGCAAGGGTTCCATGGTGAGGATACAGGGAAACCAGACTGGATTCAGGTCAGGGCTGCAAGGCCAATGTGGATCCAGCCTCAGCTTACAGCTCCTGTGGAGTGTCCCGGGGTACTGTATCCAATGCTTTTCTGTCTTGGAGCAGCAGTAGTCACTGGGCTGGGTGGGGCCAGGCTGGGCAGGGCTCCTCCCGACTTCCAATTCCCACCTCCTGGCTGGCAGTGCTGCTCAGCTCTCTGCCTTTCCTCCCCACTTAGAGCAACACAGGAGCACTGCTTAAGGAGTGGCTCTTTTGGTCTGAGCCACATGTGCCCTGCATCAGCCAGTCTGTGTCTTGTCTGTGTGTGGGCCATGGCTGGAGTCTGTCCTGGGCTGGACATAAATTATATTCTTGTAATGTATTCTTACATAATGTCCTTGTAAACTTAAGCCATCTGAAGTTTCCCCTTGTTTTACTTACAAGGTAGATATCTTGAAAATGCAACCTGTGATGTTTTATTACTCTAATATCTTGAAGCTCTGACGTTTTCCACTCACATGTCTAACTGCTGATAAAGATGTGAAACTTAAGAAAATGGAAAGTTCACCAATTGGCTTAATGAGGCACCTGGTCCAATTAGTCTAAGAAAAGTGTAGATCAAATGTGTCAGATATCTAAACTTCTGCTGCCAGTGGTATCTGTTTTGGTAAACTGCAATGACTGTTTGACCGATTTCCTAACCCGTATTAGTCTGGCCTAGCTGTAGATCAAAAGGCGGCAGATGTCCTGACCCATGCTTGGGATATCTACTTTGTAAACTATGATGACCAAGTGAATTCAAGAAGGCATTTTCTTTTTAAAAAATATTTTGTTATTTAATTTTTATTTTATGTGTATGAGTATATTGCCTGCATGTATGTACATGCACCTGTGTCATGCAATGCCCTCGGAATCAGAAGAGGGCGTTGGATTCCCCTACGGACAGTTGTTAACCACCATGTGGGTGCTGGACTCTTAACAGCTGAGCCATCTCTCCAGCCCCAAGAAGGAATTTCCTGGCTAACATGGCACATCAAAGTGGGCCCAGGTGCCAGTCATAAATGACATTGAAATGCCTATTTAATTCCCATCTTTACCTCTTTGTTGCTAATTCAGGGACCTCATGCATGAGAAAGAGTAAAACTTTTCACTCTCTGTTGGGTAAATAGTTGCTCTCTTAGCTGTTTGAAGAATTTTTCCATAACAAGACCAAGTTCTGTAGACAGGGTCTGCCTGGCACAGTAGCTGAGGACTGCTAAGGGGCTGCTGACCACCTTTTGTTGTCCCCAGTGCACTGTTGAGTGTGATCGTCTGGCTGTGTGGTGACAGCCACAAACACTTCTCAGAATTCTGAGGATTTGAGGCTGGCCTTGAACACTGTGTAGCCAAGAATGACCTAGAACTCCTGATCTTCCTGCCTCTACCTCCCAATTGCTGGGATGATAGGCGTGCATCACCATGCTTTGTTTCTTCGGTGCTGGGGATGGAACCCAGGGCTTGCGCATGCTAGGCAGGTACTCTACCAACCAAGCCACATCCCCAACCCTCCTTCCTTAATGATTTTTTATTTGTTTCATTTTGATTTTCTTTGAAAGGGGCATGCCAATCTGGCCTGGCATTTGCCATCCTCTTGCCTCAGTCTCCCAAGGGCTGGAACTATGCAGGCATGTACCACCATACCTGGCTTCTTCCTTGATAATCCAGAGTGAGTAGGCACTGCCAGGGCCCTTTCGGGGCTTTGGGGATCTCTGCTTCCATCCTCACCTGCCTTCTTTCCGCCCGTTGCTGCTTTGGTGTGTGTTGCTGTAGACTCCTGGGTGGTTTTTAATGCAGCATGTTGTAATTTTTCAGTCTTATGTAATGTTGCAGATCTGGGCCATGGGGGCCTTTAACCTGCTCCTGAGTGCTGTTGACTGGGTGCTTTTGACACAGTGCTTGGTCTTCCAGTTCCACCTGGTTTCCTGCTGCAAGACAGCCCTGCATTACTGGGATAGGAGCTTCCCTATGGAGCCACTGGTTTTTCCTAGAGAGCTTATCTAGGAGTTTTTGGTTTGTGTTTGTTTTTGGTTTTTTTATGCACTTGTGCATGTATGTGGAGGCCAGAGGTCAACTTCTGGTTTCCTCCTCAGGAGCTCCATTCAGGCGGGTCTCTCACTGGTGTGCAGCTCATCAGTTAGGCCAGGCTGGCTGGCCAGCAAGTCCCAGGACCCTCCTGTCTCCAGCTCAGCACTCACCACCATACCTGGTATTTTTATGTTGGTTCTTGGACTTGAACTCAGGTCCTAATGCTTGCAAGGCAGGTGCTTTACCAACCAAGCCATCTCCCCAGCCCTGAGAGCCTATGCTTTCAGAGCCTCAGGGCAGCCGGCTTGTTCCATCCTGTTCTCGGCCCTTTTAGTTGCCTCTCTTTTAGTGAAAAGTTTGGGGGGTACTGTATTATTTTGTGGCTGTCTGTCTACCTTCCTAGCCATGGGCTGACAGGCGCTAACAGGCAGTTGCACTAAACTTGTAGCTGGAGTTGGATACCAGAATCTTAGTGAAGTCACTATGTGAGCCCAAGCATGTTGACCCCTCAGCAAGCACAGTCCCAAGTTACGCTCACACTTGTGGCTGTATCACCCCCTTCCCAAGCCTGCCCCACAAGGAGGGTGTGTCTTTGTATGCATTTGTGCCTGCCTTGTGAATGTGGACATGAGCTGTGACCTGGGCCTCCTAAGCTGCTGTTAAGTGTATTAGTTAATTTTTTCATTGTGACCAAGTATCTGACAAGAAGCAACGTACAGGAGGAAGAGTGTATTGTGGCTCATACTTTGAAGGTCCTCATGGAGGGAAGACATGGTGGCAGGAGCGTGAGGTAGCTGATCACACTGCATCCACAGTCAGGAAACAGATGGATGCTGCTGCTCAGCTCCCTTACTTCTTTTTATTGTCTGAGACCTGAGCCCCCCATGGGTTTATGCTGTCCACTTTCAGGGTGGGTCTTCTGCAGTTCACCCAGGCTCTAGAAACTCCCTTACAGACATGCCTGACGTTTGTTTCTTGGGTGAGTCTCGATCCCAGGTTTGACAGTCAATTTTTTTTTTTCTCACTGTCTCACAGTGTAACCCAGTCTGGCCTGAAACTTGCTATGTAGACCAGGCTAGTGTGGAATTTACAGAGATTTACCTGCTTCTGCCTCCAGAGTGATGGAATTAAAGGCGTACACCACCGTGTCCACTGGGCCCAGTGCTTGTCAAGGCAGTTTCCTATGACTACAGAGAGCCTGCATGTTCCGTCCATTGTCTTCAGGAGTTTTAGATTTGAACCAGTGTATGTGGCTGACCAAGAGGGATGTCAGGGACCCACTGGAGAGATCCACACTTATTAGGACCAGGACCCTCAAGCTCCCCTGCAGGCCACAGGGAAAGGAGAACTTACAACACCTGACAAGCTGCCAGGTTCACAAGACACTGGAACCTAACGAGTAGAGTCCATGTCCTGGGGTCTGCAAGCCCCTTGCTGCAGGATAGGGCCTTGGTCAATGTCTCTTGCCTCCGCTGTAGTGTTTCTGCCACAGCAGGTGTGACATGGGCATCCTGCAGCCCTAGCTATGTCAGGTCACAGACCCTGCACACAGATGAACCACACCTTACCCCTGAAGGAGCATGCGGGGTCTTTGCTACTAGTGGCTGAAGCACCAAGAGGCCAGCCTCTGGGACTTGAAAGGCCAATGACCTGAGACCTGGGCAAGAGTGCTACCAGAGAACAGCCCTGGCTGCAGGTGTCCTCCATAGCAGAGGGAAGGAATGGCCAGTGACAGAGTCTGGGCACTGGCCCACTGCAC